CTTGCTATGTAAATTATTTGTGTTGGGATAGACTGTTTGTGGTCTATGAAAATTCTCACATCAGTTTATCGTGAGATTATTTTGATGTTTTTGATTCAAAATTTCAATAGAAAGATTATGTTGCAGATATGACATTACTAGAAATTTTTGTTCTCATTTTGCAAGGACTTTAAGATATTATTTAAGATTTTCCTAGGCATAATCATTTATAATTAATTATCCCTCCTGATTATGCGAGAGAAATTTTTAATTAAGGTGACAATTGCTATATGCTAATTGCATAACATATAAGAATTGGAATTCAATTTAAACTGAAATTAGAATGGAGAAATTTAATACTATTAACTTAGAGTGGATGATGGAGGGAATGATAATGAAGTTGATGAAGAATCTTTGGTTCCATTATCTTGGATAGTCATTAATTATTGTTTACGTATTTAGTAAGCAAAGATAGTCAGCTCAACCTGACCGAAGAAACTTTGCTAGCAATCATGGTTTGCATCATTCAAATGAAATTTGTAAATATGGGTGATTATTTGTTTATGCGGATGAATTTAAGTTGATCTTAAGCTAACATAGGGTTTTTTTGTTTTTTTAATTGTACTTTATGATTCATAACTCAAGAGGCAAAGCCGTTGAAAAACATATGGGTTATGATTATGATTATAATATAAGTGTGATTTTGACAAATCATCTTGGTAGAGGCCCCCATTCAAAAAATTTTATAAAAAACTTTTGACCAGAATGATTTGCTTCAACATATAGGGCATTTTGATGTTAGTATGCCCTTTATTATGATTTTCTATTCAAAACCATTATCATCAGGGTATTATATTTGAAGTGCTTGTATTTGTAATTTGCTGTTCTTAAATTTTATAGACTTTTCTATTGAGATTCATTTTTAATAAGACCAATATCATGATGGTTGCATTATATATATTAATAATTTGATTGAAGTTTATTATTTGAATATTATCCAGACATCTGTCTTGTTTGTGCTAGTCCTTGTTACAAGGAGAATTGGCCAAGGGAGACTTATAATCTTGTTTTCTAGGCAAAACAACCTGTGCAAAAACTTCATATCTGTAGAAATCTGAAAAAAAATTTATTTCTCGCTCTAATCTATACATTACACTTTGCCATATATATATAATATTGAAAGAAAATAAAATAGGAATCCCTCCAAAATATGAAAAATAGAAAAATAAAAATCTAGTAAAAGAGATACAATTAGTGAAATATATTATAAGAAAAGGAAATAAAATCATTCTTGATGCAAATTGACACTTTTAAATACTTCTCAAGTTTGGTTGTATACATTGTACAAACCAAGTTTGGACTGCAATTCATCATATCTCAAGTTTGGTTGTATATATTGTACAAACCAAGTTTGGACTGCAATTCATCATAATTAACCCTTGGTAGTGCTTTAGTAAGAATATCATTAGTCCTAAGTCTTGTAAGAATATAACTGAGTTGAGCAATTCTATTATTAACCTTTTTCAAGATGAAATGTCAGTCAATTTTAATGTGTTTTGTTCTGTCATGATACATATGATTTTTATACTATGAGAGTATTTTACTTCTGTAAAAAATTCAGTTACTATTACTATCACTAGTTATTTTGAAATCCTTGCAAACTCATGATTTGCGATTCTATTGAGTTTTATTCATACTGTAAGAATGACGTGTACTTAGCATTTTTTTTAATTTATTATTGATATTTAATGTTATACAAGTATATAGACTACTATGTAAGTGAGAATGAAATAACCAATATTAAATAGTGATTTTCATAGTATGCTTGCATGCACATGCGTGACTATGATAGAGTTACCTCTTCATAGTACTTGAAGGCTAACACTAAGATACATGTGAATGTAAATGAAAGAAAAATATTGATATTGAAGTAACTTAATTGGTATAATTTTTAGATGATACTTGTGACGGTTGTACAAATATAGAGTAATATATATAAGTTATTGATATAGTGAGACCCATTGAATAACATTAAATATCATAATCGATTATATTCTTAAACTATCAAATGTCTTATACTGATTTATCAAAAATTTAATTTTCTTGCATATTATTTTATTTTTTCTTGTATTACTATAGTTTAGGAGTGTGAATATTTACTGACTTTGGTTAGCTCACTTAGTCCGATCTTTCTCATAAAGATTAGAGCTGCCAAGACTAACATTTTATTGATATTCAAAATGTCAAATTTCAAATGAATTTCAATAATAAATGTTTCAAATGCCGAAAATATCTGATGATGTTGAGTTCATAGAAGATTTCAATCGGGGGTATTATTTTCAAAAATTAAAATTCGAAGTGAAATTGAATTAAATCAAATAATATATGTATATGAACTAGTTTTTATGTAAGCATGACAAAGTTCACAAATTTTATATACAAATATAGATTCATATTAAGTCTGATCCTTTACAAGCAAGAAGCAAAGTTGATAGGATTCAAATCAAGTAATCAAACACTAGATGATGGCCGAGTTGATAGATGATTTCAACTTTAGGGATCTATTTCCAAAATCAAGTTTTTACTAATATCTAAATAAATTCAATTATTATAATTCTTGAACTCATTTCTCTGTAAATTGTAAATAGTTTGCAAGATTCAAATTCAATTATATGTCAATCCTGATCCCGATCATTTATAAGTAAGATGTAAAGTCGAGTTTTCAAATCAAGCAATTAAATCTTTGATGTTGCCTTGTTGATTGAAAATATCAATCTTAGGGGTCAACTTTTAAATCAATTATTGAATCAAATTATCAAATAACAAATCAAGATATCCAAGTTGAAATCAATCACAAAAAACTCAAATTAAATTCCGTCCACCCTCCACAACATTTTGTCGAGGGGGACAAACTCTTAATTAATTTTTGCTTAGAAAGAGCGAATGCCACATCGAGTATATCAGTATATTAACACTCAAAAACATGCTTACACTGATATGTATGTGACCCGAGTCTTTTGTCCGAGTGGTTTGACCCAATGACTTCACAAAAAAATAGCGATTATGACCCAAATTCTCTGACCAAGTGATTGCCGCTAAATGATATCATTTTATTATTGTAACGGATGCAGCTTGTATATTTTCCAACGGTTTTGTACTCTGAGTTGTGAACTATAGGGTACATTTGATTGACGTAAAATATTCTATTATCCACGGGATCTTTAATTTGTCCTTTTAAACAAACATTCACCCCAAATTTATAGGAGTCCTTTAGACGTTGCAACCCATAATTGTTTGAGACGGATTTTTTAGTGAGGTTGGGTCGACTACCTTTTCCTAGGTAAATCAGGGTCCGGGATGACGCAACCATGTGATTTTGATCGGATTCATCTGCTTTAAGCTCAAGGTGATATATTTATAATCTAAATTCTAAGTCTACTGTTACTATCACAAACAATTCAACATTAAATGACTAGCTTTAATTGAAAGTGCTCTTATTATTAGGGTGGATAGTTAACTATAGGGGCTTGCGTTTATGGAAAATCTCGAATCCCGGATAAAAAAATCCTCACCAAATGGGGGCGAAGTCTTTGGTTTGTGTCTGCAAACCAATCAGCCTTATGAAAATTGGACTCGGACTACCAAACACAAAAGTTCCCACCAACAATGAGAGAGTATGGGGCATGAATTTTCGAAGTGCACAATCTTGATTGAGGGTGAGTACCTTCGCTGTGTTCTGGTAATAATACCCTATAGTTGGTCGGTAAGTGGCGTAGTTCAATAAGCTAATAGCCTTAACGAGTAGGCAACTTCATGAGTCCTTGCATGAGTTTAGTAGCTTAGCATTGCGGGCATAGTAAAGCTAATTCAAGCTTGAGCTGATATTTGACTCTCGGGAGATTTGAGATTTTAGGCAACCTGAAGCTCGAGGAGTTCCGATCTGTAGGCTTTTATACCACTTCATATTCAAAAACGTTTTGAACCCTATTTATGCACCCATGATGACTAATTGGATTTGACCCAAGTGAATATGAGCATATTATGGCAGTCTAAATCTATTGGTTAAGTGGGTCAGTTGAAACCATGTTCTTTTCCCTTGAAGTTTGTAGTTTTTGTGAACTGCAAATAAGTAGTTGAGCAGATCTGTATCTCACCGGTCCAAGAGTAAGTTTGTGCTATCATTTGTGATGTAAATTTACTTCAGTATTGTTTAGAAATCTTATGTTTAGATACCGCCACTATGAAAACTTAGTGTGCTTATAGCTATCATATGATTCAAAAAGCAACCAAGGAGTTTTTAATTCATAATTGAATGCTGTTTAGACTTAGTTGTATGCAATTCTTCTTTCAATGAAATTAATCATAGCGTGCCTCTAGTTAATTATCTGAATGCATCAAAAAGACACTGAAATGGATTTTCTGGATATAAAATTGATTGTTCAGTCGTTTCTCATTATATTGAAGTGATTCACCAAACATTGATCTCAAGGAAATGGAATTGTTTATTCAATATTCATTTTTGCTTGCCTTATCTTTTGTCTGATGCCAAAATTATAGATGCACAAAGAAGATTTGGAGTTATAGGTCGACAAGTATAAATGATTTTGGGGAAAATAAAAAAATTGCATGAGAATACGATCTTCTGGAGTTGTACATGTATATTAAAAAGAGATGAAATTTTGAACAAATCCACATTTGTGCGTAATTTTGCATGTCGATACAAGTCCAAATAGGCATTTGAAACTCATGATGATATTCCTCCAGTATTTTTTTTTTCTGGTTACATCCATCCCTTCTAATGGGATTAATATTCCTCCAGTATTTTTTTTTTTCTGGTTACATCCATCCCTTCTAATGGGTGTTAGCATGCATGAGGTCACAAATTCCTTTTTAGTTGCGTTGCAAAAGGGTTATTAAAATTGAACAAAGCTTTTTCAATGGAATTTTTTCTATTAATGTTACAAAGCCAAAACTAGTTCAACGGATAGATTTCTATTAATCTTAAAACCATTGCTTGACAGGTGATTTACAGTACACGAATAAAGTTGCTCTTACATACAGGACAAAATCTGTTACAATACCAGAAAGTGGAATGGTTGTTTGCCCATTGAAATTTAATGAATATATTCCTTGTCATGATGCAACTTATTTAACAAAGCTGCTCCCAAAATTAGATGCTTCTCGAGAAGAGCAGCTTGAGAGTCATTGTCCTCAATTAGAGGAACGCTTGTTTTGCCTGGTTCCACCACCTGTTGACTATAAAATACCAATAAAATGGCCACTTAGTAGAGATTACGTGTGGCGCGGTAATGTGAATCATTCACACCTTGCTGAGGTGAAAGGAGGACAAAATTGGGTTCATGAGAAAGGTATGCTGTGGTGGTTCCCTGGTGGGGGTACACATTTTAAGCATGGAGCTGCTGAGTATATTGAGAGGTATGTTTTACCCGCTGTGCATATTGTTTTTATTACAAGTTAACGTAGAAATATATTGCTAGTACCGTTTCTTTTTATATCTTTGTGGGCAGTTTAGCTGTGTTTCATTTGTCCCTTATGAAAGGTAGGACCAATTTTTATTTTAGGTGAGCATGAAAATTTGAACTTTAATCTCTGAAATTTTATTATGATGGTGGTTTGATGATAATTCAAATGAAAATATCCATGCTATCAATTTCACATATTATGTATCTTAGCATGCACATATAACTAAAAATTTTACGTTTACTGCTAAAAGGGTGTTAAGTTGGAATCTGTCCTATCATGAAAACATAATTTTGTATCTGTTCGAGATTCCAGCTATGGAGTGACAAAAAGTATTGATATTATTAATAAACTGTAAAATGTACTGTGCTGTATTTATAAATGAAGTAACTACTATGCAGGGCTAGGAAGAATACGGCTAATATTGTCTTGTAGTTAAAGTTAACAAGTCTTCTTTATCATGCCTAATAGAGTGGAAGGCATCATGTGCAGTTAAAGGTTGAGCTGAGACGCTGAACTTATTTTTAATGTCTTCTGGTGTCATGGCCTGTAACTGAATTCTTTAATGCCTATATACACCACCCAAACTAACGCATTTTTTTAAAGGTAAAATAGCATTTTTAGTTCCTGTATTTATATCGTGTCGGCACTTCTTTCTTCAAATTTACATTTTGCATAAGATGCCCTCCAATGCAGTTTGATTGTCTTTATTTTGTAAAATTTTATATTTTAATCGGTGATTTTTTAATTATGAATCTGCATGATAAAAAGTTAGTGCAAACATTCAAACTTTGAAAGCATATTGATTTGTTCACCGACATAAAATGAAAATCTATCGCAGCTATAAACCCAAAATTAAATCAATCTAACCATAAGTACTACTATAATCTTTCCTGAAGCACAAGTGCCATAAATAATGATCATGTATTGCCTTATAACCACAACTGGCAGAATAATGGGCCATATACGTGCCATATACAAGATGAACAATAAAAGGGACTTGGAGTTTTCAGTGATGTCTAGACGCTTGCAAATTGGAAGATGAATGTTTTTTTAAACTCGACAAAGAGGGTAATGGCTGCAAATGTGAGTCGGAATAATTGACAAAGAGGAGATTCTTTGAAGTTAGTGAAGAATAAAGATGATTCTTTGAAGGTGTGAAGAATGGACAGTACTTTAAGGCATTGTTAATGTTAAGTAGTAATGTGGCTTACTCATGTCAATCAGGAAGGACGGAAATCAAACAACTAAATTAGGAGTTTTCTATAATTAGGAGCTTTCTTATTTAAATTATTTCTAATATCTTTATTCTGATGTATTTCCCTTTTGGCTGAATATTTAGATTAGGGATATGTATTATTAAGTTACTTAAAATAGATTATACAAAATATTTTGTAACTAAAATAAGTTGTAAGATTATTATTTAATAGAATGAACGCAAAGGGAAAAGGAATCGAGCCTATTCAAAATTTAGTATATTCATGAAAACTTTGACATAGTATCAGAGCTAAATTTTTGCCCTAACCGCCGATAATCGTTGGAGGACCGTCAAGACTCCCTTTCCACCGGCCTTCTTACGGGACGGGAAGGGAGGAACAATTTCTTTGCCTCGATCCTCGCTCTTCTGCTTGTCTCATTATTTCTTCGCCTGAGTCGTCTTCGTTCTACTTCGTCTTCTTCTTCGACTCGGCCAGTCTGGACCGAGCCTCTTCTTTGTTATTGTTTCGAAGCTCTTCGTCTTTCTCTTATGCCTGCTTCCGATGTTGAATTTCGTCTATTCATCGACGGTCTCTTCTGGTCAACTGACGACAAATTGCTAGAGAGCGCCTTCAGCACCTTAGGCTTCATCCTGGTCAACTGAACAATTTGTATCGCTAAAAGTTATGCTTTTAGTGATCTTTATAAGAGATTTGATATTAAAGAGGGTGAAAAATATATGTATAAACTAGCCAAACAAAGAGAAAAGAAACGTAAAGATTTAAATCAAGTAAAGTGTATTAAGGATGAAAATCAAAAAGTGCTTTTCTTAAAGGAAGATATTCAACGGAGGTAGGAGAGCTATTTTGATACATTTTTCAATAAAGTTTTTGAAAATACGATCAACCTCAGTGATCATAATATCATTTATAATAATAAAATATTTTATTTTTACCTTTGCATTTGTAATAGGAAATTTAATGTGGCTTTAAAGAAAACTAATGGTGGAAAATCAGTAGGACCTGATGATATCGTCATTGAAGTGTGAAAATATTTAGTAGATTTCAGAGTTTCTTGACTTACCAAATTCTTTATTTTTATTTTAAAAACTAAAAAAAAGATTAAGGAGTAGAGGAAGAGTATTTTGGTCCCCATTTTTAAGAATAAAGGGATGCATAAGAGTGCAAATTATAGAATAATTAAGTTGATGTGTCATACATTGAAATTATGGGAGAGGATAACTGAACATAGTTTAAGACGTGTTACAAAGATTTCTCATAATTACTTTGGATTTATGCCAGATAGGTCTACTATGGATGCTATATATTTATTTAATGAGAGGTTTGATAGAGAAGTACAAAGAGAATAAGGAGGATCTACATATAATTTTTATTTATTTAGAAAAAAACTTAAAAAATAAGGTTCCACGAGAAGTCGTTTGGAGAGTTCTAGAGAAGAAAGATGCTGATTTGACTTATATTCAAGTCATTAAAGATAAATATACTAGAACTGTATTTGTGTTCGAATAGGAGGATTGACAAAGTATTTTCCTATTTCAATTGGATTACAATAGGGATCGGCTTTAAGCCCATAACTTTTTTGCTTTTGTTATGGATGCTCTTACTGTACAGTACATTTACAGGAGGGTGGAAGGAGGATGTACCTTGGTTTATGCTTTTTGTTGATGATATCCTTCTTGTGGATAAGCCTACATAAAGAGTTCAGAAAATACTCTAATTATGGAGGTCTACATTGGAGTCTAAAGGCCTCCGTTTTAGTAGAACTAAAACTAAATGCATGAAATGTAAGTTTAGTATTAGCAGTTCTAGTTGCGTAGTCGTGAATATGGGCGATTAAATCAGTAAAATGTGTGAACGTTTTAGGTATCTTAGGTCTATTGTTCAAAGTGATGGTGATATATAAATCAGTAAAATGTGTGAACGTTTTAGGTATCTCAGGTCTATTGTTCAAAGTGATGGTGATATATTATTAGTAAAATTTAAGTTGGTTGGTTGAAGTACATGAATGCTTTGAGCCTATTGTGTGATAGAAAAGTACCGCTTAGATTGAAAGAAAAATTATATAAGATGGTGGTGAGATCTGCAATGCTTTATGACACAAAATGTTTGCCTTTAAAAGAGAAACATAAAACAAAGTTAAGTGTTGTTGAGATGAGAATGCTTAGGTGGATGAGTGGATTGACACTTAGAGATAAAATGCGAAATGAATATATTCGTGATAGGATTGGTGTAGCTCTAGTGGCGGAAAAGATTCGAGAGAGTCATCTAATATGGGTTGGTCACATTAAACGTTGACCATCTAATGATGTGGTTAAGAAATTAGATGTTTTAGATTCGACTTAGGTTAAGAAAGGCAGAAATATACATAAAAAGACTTGGGCATATTGTATAAAAAATGATTTTAATTTATTAGAATTAATTGAAAATGTGACATTCAATAGGATGCAATGGAGAAAAAGGATTCATGTAGCTGACCCCACTTGGTGGGATAAAGGCTTGCTGTTATTGTTGTATATATAAGTTATGATGCTAATTTATTATTTTGTCCTTTTATTTTTTTCTTAGGCATTTTTTAAACTGTGGGGCTTATGCCTTGCTTCACAAATAGAAATACCTCAATACCCAATTGAGCAATTTTAACATTGATGATGATAGCTGGTAGAACTTTCAGATTATCTTGCTATGTTTAATGAAATTTGAGGTGATTTCTGACATTAATTTACTAGTAAAAGATTATGCTACTACTGAATGTTGTAAGAAAAGAGCTAGGTTTAATTTTCTAAATAATAAGTCATTTTAATTCATGTGTGAGAAAGGAGTGATAACATCCCCGATCAATTTAATTAAAGGTCCTAAGGTGGATACATACGTAAGTGGTTGTGATTCAATATTTTTTGCCGAACTATTTGTTAAAGATGCAATTGGTGACATAAATACTTTTCATGTGGTGATCGAGTTGATGTTTTCGCCGAGGAACTAAATGGTTTGCAAATGTGAAATCACTCTTGAAAAAATGGAAAGGCGGGTGGCTTTCTTGTTGTTCTACTCGAACGGAGCTGGAGAAGTGAAAGGGGCTTCGAGCTTTGGCTTTGACTCCTGAGTTGAGCGAACACAGGGAACGGGGAGTGCGATACTGTGAATTGCGACAGGGATGCAAGCAATGGAGCTTTGGCTTCGATCTGCAACTGGGTTTTTATGATAGAGAGGACGGGGTTGGGAGTTTCTGCGGCTTTGGTGTGGTCGGAAGACGGATGAGGGTTTGGCGAAGAGGAAGATACATGCAGTTTTGAGTAGGGTCAAATGTGCGGCATACTCGAAAAGGACAGAATCACATACCATAGGGCTTTGATTTTGACTTTGGTGAGGAGTTCTGTCACGTGTTGCGTAATTTTGAAACAGGGTGTGGGGTGGGAACTGTAACAAGGTTTAGTGGGAATAGTTGACACAAAGGAGCGTGGTGTTTGGCTGGACCAGGTAAATTCTTAAAATAATTAATAATAATTTTTTTTTCTCTTTTCAGGATCAACAGATATTAATGATTGTGAATTTAACTACTTTAGCATTTTACATGCTATATTTGAAATGAAATGTGTAGAAATAGGCATTATTGAGGATTGACTGAGCATTAAATTCCCTTAACCATGGATCTGGGGGTAGAAATATAAGTTGTGGTAGCAAATTTTTTGGTCTAGTTTGTAATTCTTAAATCGGCTTTTGCAGGCTTGGAAAAATGATAACTAATGAAACCGGTGATTTACGTTCAGCTGGAGTTGTTCAGGTTTTGGATATTGGCTGCGGTGTTGCCAGTTTTTCAGCTTATTTACAACCTTTAGATATTCAAACAATGTCTTTCGCTCCTAAAGATGGCCATGAAAATCAGATCCAATTTGCTCTGGAGCGTGGAATTTGTGCAATGATATCTGTTTTGGCTACAAAACAGTTGCCCTTTCCTCCGAGATCTTTTGAAATGGTTCATTGCTCACGATGCCGTGTTGATTGGCATGCAAATGGTAACTTCTCACTAAGTTTTAAGTTGAAAGATATATTTACAATGGTTTATAAGATAATTTCTGGCAATGGATAAGTTGTCATTATTAGAAGCCATTTAAATTCATAAATTGCGTGAGAAAGTTGCTGAAGGTGGGTTAATTATATTTCTATTTATTTTCTGCTTTAATTAGATTAAAGCGATTAGCATGAGGCTACACCATCCGTTTTCATTCAGGGTTTGGGAAGCAATTAATTCATTGAGATTTCTATACATATGAGGGAAATTGTATGGTTTTGTCAATATTGTCATTATATAATCCGTGTATAACATTATATAAATTCGCTGCCTTTACTAATAATTCAGCTTTGATATCGAGTGATTCCACAATGATGAGCTACATTTGAAGGTTAAAGCTATTCCATGATATATTTGGCCTTAAAATTATAAGTACACTGTGATTATATTTTTAAGTTTTTGTTCTTGCTACAAGCCTGCACCCTTTATCCCAAGTTGACTTCGTCTCTCTGTTTACATTTCTATGGTAAACAATTTTATTGTAAAAGGTAAAATGTTTGAAGGTTAGTCATGAAGTTAAATATTTCCGCCCTCCTTTTTTTTTTCAGATGGAATACTGCTTAAAGAAGTTGACCGTCTTCTGCGACCACATGGATATTTTGTGTACTCAGCTCCACCTGTGTATAGAAAAGATAAAGACTATCCAGTCATTTGGCAAAAGTTGTTTAATCTGACTACATCTATGTGTTGGAAGCTCATTGCTCAGCAGGTCCAGACAGCCATATGGTTGAAAGGGGATAATGATTCATGTCTATCAGAGAATGCAGAAAAGAATCTACTATTGATATGCGAACCGGTTGAGGATACAATACCACAGTGGCAAAGCCCTTTAAGAAACTGCATGAGTTTAAGCAACGATAAGTATAATTTTCAGAAGTTACCTCTCAGACCTGATCGCTTTGTGATTTATCCAAAAGTTCTTGAAAAGTTAGGTAAGTAATTTCTGCACATCGTAAACTAGTTTTATAAAGGATATGTATGTGAAATTGAATTTCGAGCAGCAGATACAGGCATAAATCTTTGTCAATATTTCTTATTTCATGAAGGTGGTGCTATGGAAATTTCTCTAGAGCCATTCATAGTCTTCCGTATGGTGTTCTTCTTATATTTTCGTTGACCTTGTTTCTGTTTATTTAAGAAGTTGGTTCTGTACATACCAATTTTGTCTTGGTGTGCTATTCATTCTTTCTCTTGTCCTTGGACTCATGCTTCATTGGTGCCCTGCTGTACTTCATCAAAAGATATTTGAGATCATTAGTACTGAACTTTATTTCTACCTCTCATTACTTATTATTTTTTTCAACATAGCTTTTTTAACAATATCTTGCATTTGTTTTTTGTTAGACTTTTTGCTCATATTTCGTGAACTTTTCTCCATTGATCTTCTTTTTTCCTTTTACGAGGAAAAAAAAAAACATACTTAATTACTTGTTACACTCTCCTTTTTTAAGAACAATATTGTATTAAAAATTTTTTTTACGAGTATAACAAATGAAATTAACTAGAATTGTTAGAGTACATGGAAAAACACATTTTTGATTTTCTGGAAGGCAATGATCTGGAACTCAAGAGGCAGCTAGCGAGCTTTTTAACATTGATATGTTGAATACATACAATCCTTACTTTCTATTTCCATTGATTCTCCTCTTTTTTCTTTTTTCCAAGGAAGCCTCGTGCTATTTTTATTTTTATTTTTTTCTGTTTTTGAAATGTCTTATGAGATGGTGGAAAACCTGAAATCCGGAGGAATTAAAAGCCACAACCAGCATTCCATAATTTCAGGAAGCACTTCTAGGGACTACAGCTAGCACTTTTTTATATTTAGGAATCACTCTACCTGCTGTCTTGCACTATTCCGATCATACAATCAGCCCTCCAGCCTACCGCTCTCCAGCTTGTAGCCCTACTGCTTTCAGCCGTCCAGATTTCAGCCCACCAGCCTAGAGCTCTATAAAACTTGAACTATTGTTTCCACTAACCACTGTTTCCTAGCACAGCATGAATTTAAAATCTTTCATTTATTCCATACTCTATTATTATTTATTAGGTTAAATTCATTCATGTTTTTCCCTTTTTGTTGATCATGTTCTAGTGACGCGGAAGTGTCCTGTAGAAAAGTGAGATTGGGCATCCCGAAATCCCGATCGTGAGATTTCTGCGATTCTGCAGTTCTGCGATCGCGGGAGTAATGTGCCACTCAAGAATCTTTTATTTATTATTATTTTTTTTAATCAGCAAGTTTGCTTGGGTGTTTCTTCCTTTTCTGATTTTTTTCTGTTTCTCTATTTCTAATTAGATTATTTTTCATTAGGGAACTTATATATATGTTGTATGCTTGTTTTTTTGAGAGTAACTATTGTGTTTGTGTTTTGAGACATTGTTCTCTATTTTATACTCTCTGGAATGCTGTATTCTCTTCCTTTTGCAAGTGTGCTTGTATCTTGCTCATGAATAGGTTGTGGATCCTCCTCGCCGTATCGTTGTTCTATTGCTGTTTTCCACTCCGGATAGCCGCCGAATGCCGCCTGTCTTCTTCCAGCCGTATCGTTGTTCTATTGCTGTTTCCAGTCCGGATAGCCGCCGAATGCCGCCTGTCTTCTTCCACACTCCGTTGAACTCGCAAATTATCTTACCACTACTATTCCAAAACCACATCCTCTCTAGATCATTACCTATATTTCCATGGATTCTCTCTCTTTTTTTTTTCTAAGGAAGCCTTGTGCTATGTGCTATTATTTTATTCCTTTTTGAAATCTTCAATGAGATGGTGGAAAGCTTGAAATCCGGAGAATCAAAAGCCACAACCAGCATTCCATAAATTCAGGCAGCACTTCTAGGAACTACAACTAGCACTCTTTTATATTTAGAAATCACTCTACCTGCAGTCTTACACTATTCCAAACATACAATCAGCCCTCCAGTCTGCAGTTCTCCAGCTTGTAGCCCTACTGCTTTCAGCCCTCCAGATTTCAGCTGGTTGGCTTATAGAACTTGGCCCTGTTGTTGTCTACAAACCACTGTTTCCTAACCAAAAAAAAGTCCTAAAGCTGCGTGATCATGCCATCCTATCATCACAAGCGGCGCGACCATGCCACTAACCGGCGTGACCACCCCAGGTTTGCAGAGGGCCGACTTGGCCATGCCAGGATCGGGCGTGGCCACGCCGCCTAATTCACATTTCGGCATAGTCACACCGCATTTCGGCATAGTCACACCGCATTTCGGCATGACCACACCAACTGATCGAGAATCTGTTTTGGCAACAATTGTTTTTGCCAAATTCATGGATGAAGCTATAAAAAACATATCTCAGGGCATTTTTTGAAAGAGGAGAGACCCGGGGATGGCTGGGGAGCCAAAAGAGAGGGTTTTGGGAGAGTTTCTTCCTTAATATTCTCTTTCTCTCTTGGGGTTGAGGTGTTAACCGTTTTCCCTACCTATTGCTTTTATTTTCTTACTGATTTTGTGAGGATTATTGTATGAGAGAGGAGATTGCTGCTCTGGATGAGAGAACAAATTGTTTTGTAAGTCTTTACACTTCAGTTTTACTTGCGAGAATGATTTTAATGAAATGTTTTCCCATGTTCTTTTTAACAGGCGTAACTAAATTTTTTTTCATGTCTCTGTGATTCACGGTATGTGGCATTCATTGTTTCTTAGGATGATTTCTTTCCTTGTATTGTTTTCCTGAGGAATGACTATTTTTCGTTGTTGTGGTAACTGTAGTGTTTCTTTTACTCCTGATTTGACCAATTAGGATGTTCACATATTTTGTGATCTATGGCTCCTGTCGGTTGCGTAGTAGAACGAAATGGTTAATCACAAAATCTGGGTAACAATTGACATATTTTATCCGCATTTTGCAACCTAGAAAGAGGATCGAAGCAAATCTAAGGGATGCTATGAGGATTGAGTAAGCCTCAACTTTATGGATTCTAGCATTTTTTTGACCTATACATAGACATAAGGAGGTCGTTTTATCCTTGTTGACTACTATTACGTCGGGGAAAGTCTAGGAAAACCACTAACCACCACAACACTTAATCACAGTGTCGTGAGCCTCACATACCTTGAAGAATTGTAAGATTTATCCCTTGCTGTTTTTTCTGTCTTTTTTAACCTCATTATTTTTTGTTTTGCTTTTGAGTAGGATTTTAGAAAACCACCTATTGTTTTTGATCGCGCTAAACTAGGTTTATAAGTGTAGTAAAATAGAAATTCACCATCCAAAATAATTCTTAATACTTTTCTCGTGGGATTGATATGCTATACTTTTTAACCGTATTATTACTTTGACACGCATACTTGCATAATTCTACCAATTTGCTTCACTACAATTATTTATGTAGTCACGAACCGGGGCTAAAAATTAATTAAGGCGGGAACTATGATCAGACGGTGAAAATATTTAAATAAATGTTTACAGTTTAATAGAATATTCCAATTTATAGAAGAGCCACTAATATCCATAAAATGCAATAAAAGCAAAATATCTAGGAGCATAATCTGAAGACAACATCTCAAACCAGTACAAAATGTTATAACAATATCCTAAAGAAAGAGTACAAGGAAACTATCATCATAAATACCTAGAGCAGCGGTCATCCTTCTATAAACCATGTCTTTCATATCAGATATATCAACTTATAATTTTTTTCTTAAGGAAAACATTAATTGTAATAGAAAAATTGTTTATGTGGGCAATTGTAATCTTTATATGTATTAAATTATTGTTTCAATGCAATGCATGAATGATCAAAGAACATGCAGTTCATTTATTTATAAAATTTTAAACTTTCATGTTAAACTTATCCCTTTCCATTTCATTTCAAATTTTTACCATTTTAATCTCTTTAGGAGTCATGACAAGATTACTATCATGACTGGACATATCCTCAAAAAAATTACCTGAATGTACCCTAAAAAATGCACCCGAATGTACCCAAAAAAAATTTACCCGAAGGTACCCTAAAAAATATCCACGAAGGTACTCTCAAAGTATTACATCATGGGAGCGACCTCTTGAATCTTAGGTTGGACAAAGTGTTACATGGTGAGAGCCGCCTCTTGAATCTGTAGTAGCACTTCTAGAATTCTTTTAGCTTGTTGGATGATTCTGGGTTAAGAGTATTGATGAGGTTGTTTAACTTGGTGTATGATTTTGGGTTAAGAGTATTGATGAGAATTTCTATTACTTATGTGGTGAAAAATGTGAAATCTCTGAAGTAGAATGAAATTAAACTCAAACATTTAGGTGTCATGTGATGTAACAGTTGGAATTTTATCAAAAACTTCAAAGTTAAGCGTGCTCATACCATATCACACTTGGGATGGGTAACCTCCTAGGATGTTGCACCAATAGAATAAAACCGTGAGACCATTAAGTCAAACTGGATAATATCTTGATGGTTGAGAGCTAGGTCTGTTACAAAATATCTTAAAAAATATACTTGTTAAAAAATTTATTTTTCAAGAGATTATTGTTTATATAGAAATCTTTGCTAATGCTGCCTGGGTAGGAACAATAATTGATTGTAAATCCACAGCAAATTATTGCTCATTTATATGTGAAAATTTAATTTAATGGAAAAAGTAAAAAGTAATATATCTGTTGCTTGGGGCATTTTACTAGAGCAGAGTTCTAGGCCATGGTGCATGGAATTTTTGAAGACCTATGGTTTAAATGATTTCTTAAAGATTTAAATGTTTTCACTATAGAATCAATGATAATGAGATGTGACCACCAAATTTCTTTTACCATTTTACGTAGAAATCTTGTCCACGGTAATAGATTTAAGCATGACGAGATTCATAGATACTTTATAAAGCAGAATATTGAGCAAGGAAAATTATTAGTTACACTTAATCAAAACATGACATTGCTAATATCTTTACCGAAGATCTTGATAAATTATAATTTGACTATCTTTTTTTTTCAAGCTAGGAACGATCAACTTATATTCTCAGCTTAAGATGGATTACGAAATTCTTGAAATCTGGAGCATCGAAAGGCAACAAACATTACATAAATTTAAGAAGCAATTCTGAAAACTGCAGCCATCACTTCACTAATTCCAGGAATCATTCTACCTTTTGTTATGCACGATTCTTTTCATACAATCAACCCTCTGTCTAGTATCTGCCAGCTTGCATTCCTTCATCTTTTAGATGATTTGTCCAGCTTCTGCAGGCTGGTGCTTTCCCTGTCATCATGTCACAATTGCATTGACCTGCTGTTCTGCATGCCACTCTTTCGTGTTGAGTGAACTTAAAATTCTGCACTTATTCCATACTTTATTGTAATCGAGTAGGATAATATCATTGTTGTTTCTTCCTATTTATGAACTGTTATGGACTGTTTTTATCTCATAGGCTTCTTCCTATTCTAGGCCCACTAACTAGGCTATGCATCTCTTATAAAACTTGTACCTTTTGTTCTATTGGAATATGAAATAAAAATTGTATGTCTCTCTTTTGGTTTTCAAATGAGTAATAATTGTTCTTTTCCCTCTAATTTATTCTTGTGAAGCTTCTTTGCCTTTCGTATTACTAGCATCACAAAATGAGGTTTTTCTACTTAATTACCTTATTTTTTCTTAACTGATGGATATATGTTCTTCCTTTTATGTTCTTCTTATATCATGTTGGAGGCTTGTTTTACTGGGAATTAAGCCCTCTATTTTCATTTTCAGCTGTATGTCTGCTGCATACTACCATTGGAAATTAGTTATCATGTCTTTCGATGATGTACATCTTTTTTTTTATATTTTTTCTAGATGCTAAATTTGCATAATGTCATGCTCTTCTGAACAGAGGTCTCTCCTGAGATGTATGAACTTAACACAAAATTTTGGAAAGAGCAAGTCAATCAGTATTGGAGATTAATTGATATTAACAAGGTGGATATCAGGAATGTTATGGACATGAATGCTTATTATGGTGGATTTTCTGTGGCACTAAGCAACCTACCTGTCTGGGTAATGAATATAGTACCAGCAACCATGAATAATACGCTGTCAGCTATATATGATCGTGGATTAGTTGGTGCTTTTCATGACTGGTGAGATGCTTTCATTTTGATATTGAGAAAATTAATTATTATTCTGCTGATTTCTTTGTTAGCTCACTAAAGTTATATAATGACTTTTGTAAATTATACTAATTTATTGTCACGAGCTCGGGGCTTGAAGTTAATCAAAACAGGCACAGATAGTTGGATAGTGAAAATTAATTTTTTTATATTCATTTATTATAACTAATATATACAACAGAAAGAGCTGCGAAAGAAAGTATAATAAAATAATACAATTAAATTTAACTCATCTATGGTTGTCCACATCTGCTGTAGACATTTTCTTCTATATTATTCATCTTTTAATCAAATAGTTAAACCTGAAATGTTAGTTTATAATAGTTGTGAGCTAACTTTAGTTAGTGAATACCTATGCTCCTAAATTATAGTAGCACATTGAAAAGAAAATAATATGCATATCAGTTAAATTTTATATAAATCAATCTAATAACATTAGAATGTTTGTATTGTCTACTAAGATCATTCAAAGTGATTCTAAACATTAACTATCTATTACTGTATCATTTACATATCAATAAATTTTTAAATTTGTATGCAAATGTCACATGAACGCCATTTAAAATGGTATCAATTAAGACACATCAATATCAATATCATTTTTCATTTGAGTTCATGGATTCCTTAGCATTCTTTCATTAATACTATGAATGAGTGAATTCCATCATAGCCAATCATGCATATACAAACATGTTATAAATCATTTGATTTGCATTCTAAATATCTTTTAATATTTTTCCTTTATAATATGCATGTGCACTAAATAAATATAATTATGAAAATTATTCATATTCATTTCTAGATGACCAATTTGAATAATAAGACAAAACAATCACATTCTACTTACAGTATCAAGGTATCTTCACTAATGCCATTCTAATGCGAGTGATTTAGAAGAAATACAATCTTATAACCATAATTTAAAAATAAAAATACTCACTTCAATCCTAGATAATTTTCTTATTCTTAACTTCTGTCACCTCTTTTAAATCAACATCTGTAAAATATAAAATATTCATGTTACTAAATTATTATCAATACTTAATTTTACTTTAATTAATTATATATTTTTAATCATTATCTTATTATTATTTTTAATTAACATTTCAGTTTTCACAATTACTACTAATATCATATAACATTAATCTAAACAAAATACTTTTAGAAATAAAGCACTAACCTTTCTCTACCTTTTCTTCTTTTGCGCAATCGCTAAACTGGATCTTTAATCTTTAATTCAACTATTTGTCAGATTAAAATTATTAATTTTAATTCATAGAATTGAATAATATTGAACTAAGTACATAAAATAACTTATCTAATAAAACAATTATAAACCTTTACTCTTCCTTCCTCTGTTTAGTCGCACCACCTTTACACAAATCAAATTTGCATGCTAGTTCTTCTGGCATGCAAGGGCAAGAGTTATTCTCGCACCACAACTATTTGACACTTACTCTACTGCACACAGAGAACTTCTTCGCCCTCCACCTTTATTGAGGAGACGTGTGCACTTTACTTCCAAAGTCATGATACACACTTATTCCTCCTCGATAGGATGCTCAACTAGGGTTTTCTTGCAATCTTTCCTCACAAACGACACGCCCCCTCCTACTCAAAGTCGCACTTAACTCGCCTCTTGCACGTGACAACTCACAGCTTGTCACCTGCAAGAAAATCTTTCTCAGCTCCAACTCTTGCATGCCCTAGATTGTCCATTCTACCAGCAACATCTGCCTCTTTGTTTCTTCGATGCCGTCTTCAGGATCGACACACCCAAAGAAGAACCCCAGTCAGCAGGCAACCCCACACATAGGGCATCTCCTCTCCTTCACATAGAACACATGACTTCAGCTTCATCTCCCTTCTCGAGTACACCAGCACTCGCGCGGGTGGCGTAAAGTTTCTCTTTTTCCTTTTGCTCGTTCTTCACTTTTAGTTTTTGTCTTTTTCACGTTTCTACTCACTTTGGTTTGAATAAGGTGCCTGACTCTTAAAAAGAAACTGTTGAGGCAATGATTAATTTGAATCGACACAAGCTCGTTAAAATTCTTTTTTATTTCTCGTAATTTAAAATATATGAACATGATTCATACCTCAAGCCTCAAATCACTCTCATTAAGTTGGAAAAATCTACATTATTCATCAATTTTCTTGAAGAAGTTTAAATCTCATTAAACAAGATGAAATATATACATAATAAAATAATTGTCTATTACAAGATAACTCAACTAACTTCCCACAACAATTGAAACATGTTAACATTACATCTAATTCAAGGTAACATTATAACAACAATAGGACACATCCCCTAAAAAAATAACACACTAAAATAATACTCCTATAATATGCAATAAAACATAACACTCATTAATTACTAGTAGCATCAACATCAACAATAGTTTCTTCAAGCTTTGTACTAATATAGGAGTAAAGTCAAGGTTGAACAAGTTTTCTTGGTTGAACTTGAGTAGGAGCTGAAGCTGTAGACTTTATCATTCTCTGCGCACCTACAGTCTTCTGTGAAGAAGTTCCACCAAATTGCTCTTCTGATGTTTTAGGGCAAGTAAAGGACAATATCTAGCAATATGACTAGGTTGACAACACCAGTAGTATGTCTTGCGGACAATGAAAAATAAACCCTTATGTTGTCTTTCACATTTAACATAAATGACTATAGTACTCTGGGTTGTACCTATACTAAATTCACTTGAGCTGAACTTGGGTTTCTTCTCAATCGATTCCTCTGATTGATCCACATGTCGTCCATCAATACTCTTTCTTTTGTGCATTTTGTTACGCTTATGAGTAAGCTGATAATCAATCTCTACCCGTCTAGCCCACTCAACTAGCACTGAATAGTCATCAATCCCCAATGACACTAACGGTTGCCTGAACGAGTCCTTCAAACTCTAACGAAATCTGTAGCATTTCTCTTCTGTAGTAGTTATTAGTTGTGGTGCATACCTCAATAGTGCAGTGAACTCATAATTACCTTTTCATGATTTGACCCAAGAAATCTACCCTTTGGCTTCTTCATCTTGCATAAATGTAGATAACAATACTTTTCTTTCATCCAAATTTGCGATGCTGCCAGTATTTTTTCTATCCTCATGAGACAGTTCTCCGCTTCAATCAGATCTTTAATTTCCTTTAACAGAGATGGATTTAGATCTTAAAATATCTTTAAATACTTATCCATCACAACTCTATCATTACCACCAACCCGTGATCTAGTCCTTTGAATCAACTATCATTGTTGCCATAATGTGGGTGAGATCACCATTCGTGTTCACATTTATAGCATGTGGTACTTCTTCATTTTCATTCGGGTTCACATTTATAGCATGTGGTACTTCTTCATTTCCAACCAGACTTTTTCTATAATCTCAGGTGCTTCCATTTGCCTCAATTAATAATATGATTTAGTTAGTGTTAACATGTATTCAATTTTATTATTGAAAATTTTAATTGTAATTATCCTATTAGTTTCTTCATCAAAATTATATTATTTCATTCTAAATCTATCTCTGATATTACTATTGTCATGATTCGATCTGGGGTTTGGAGTTAACCATAGCAGGTGCAGATGATCGATAATGCTAGAAAATCCGCGGCAGTAGAGTAATGAATTATCATCTTAGCTTTGTACGAGAATTCAACACACACTCAGATAAAAGGAAATAATCAGTAATGTCACTAAATGTTTTTCTTGTGAAAAATTAATAAAGGGAAAAAACTTGTAAAAATCCATTGTAGGCTGATGATTACAGAGACCCTTTGTTCCACAGACGAGAAAATGTCTAGGTTTTTCAAAATACAACATTCAGTGGCGGCGTTCGGTCTGTTGTTGTCGGTAGTGATTGGTGGTGATTTACGACGGTCAGCGGTGGTCGACGGCTGTCGGTGGTGGTTGACGGCGACAATAGTGCTCGACGGCGGTCGGTGGTTGTCTACGGCGGGTGAAAATGGTTGACAACGATCTTCGACGGTTGGCGGTTGTTAACGATGGTCAATGGGTGTCGACGATGGTCGACGATAGCCGACGGCTGGTGGCGACGATCGATGATGACGGGTGGAACTAGACTTCATTTCCTTTTCAAAGCTTTAAGTTCTCTCTCAACCCTCAAGCTCTTCTCTCATGTTGAGACAGTATTTATAGTATTATGGGTACAATTAAAATAGGAATATGAACCACTTTGATCGGATGGTCTGTAGAGTTTCCTTCGATCAAATGACGTTTGATGGAAATTTGAGTGCCTTAACAATGTCGGAATTGAACAATCTTGGGCACATTGGATTTGTCTTGTTAAGACGATCGATTCGACTACAGGCTTGCTAGATTCGACATTTGTTTAACCTTCTAAATATGTACGAAAAACTTTCAAGGGTAGTTTAATGATTTTATCTGAGCTTTATTTAACCCGGATTGAACTAATTTTGGTAACATTGAGTTCTTCTTGTTGAGGCGGTCAGTTTAACTGTATGTTTGCTGAATTTAGAGTTTTGGATGATTTTTTATCGATGTTTGAATATTTCTTGCTCAAAAAGCCATCTCGAAATCTATGTCATGACTTGAGATTCGTGTCAAATGATGGAGATTTGCTAAAGATGTACTAGTTTCCCCATTATTTTCTGGCGAGATCAAATTCGTTGTCTGAAAATATCCAAATCTATAGCTTTATATATATATATATATATATTGAAAAAAAGCCCAAGGCCTAATATATTAAATAGAAAAGATACAGATTGCTTGTATGAGTGAGCCCAAAAAAGAGGCACCCAACCCACACGGTACAACACACAAAAAAGTCAATAGGGTGCATATAAAAATAAAAAAAACCCAAAATCACTGGGGCCCGGATAAAGTGAGGGTCATCCCAATTTAGTCTTGCTTCTTCCTCTAGTTCTCGAAAGGAATCCAACTAACAAATTGGTAAGGTGCGTACCATTACCCAAAGTAACTAAAG